TTGCTAAAAAAAATTAAAGCCCAAATGTAATGAAATTGTTACATTACAGCTAAATGACTGTTCATAGTATGAAGCAATGACCAGAGGAGAGCCAATAGCCACCTTCCTTGTCCATTGTGCTCTTCATTCTCGTACTGGCTCTAGCTTGCTTTTGGTCTTTCTCTTACTCTCACCTCTGAGTCATAAAGGTGACAGATTTCATATAATTTATTAAAAGTTTATAAAATGGTCAAAAAAGTTATTGAAGGATGAAGTCATACAAAATGATAATTAGAAAACCATCTCTTTATTTTCCCACCTCTGATTAGTTGTGAGAATTATATGCGTGCAAAACAAGAAGCTCTCAAAGTGGGTTTTGTTGAGGACTTGAAGAAGTCAATTAAAACAATCATGAATGATTGCCAACTTATCAACAAAGAAAGCACTTTGAGTTTTGCCTCCTTTTGGACAGATTGTACCTTACAAAATCCCATTTAAGGAAAGATTTTTTTTTTGTTTCTCCCCAAAACTAATTGAATCTACTGGCTGTCATTGATGGATAGTTGGTGAATAAACCTCATTAAGTTTTTTGAAATTTCATTGTTTTTCAGCTTTGATGACATTGTTAGATTAATGAAAATGTTTAATTCTGATTTTTTCATCAAGTTAGTGTGTTTTTCTGGTGGAGGAATTGTGAAGGTGTGTCTTTGGAAGATTTTGGTAATATATATATATATATATATATATATATATATATATATACATATACATACACACACTTTAATTTCTCTTTCAAAAATCAAAAAATACCATGGGTATTTTATTTTATTTTTTATGGTGGAGATTGATCCCAGGGTTTAATTGGTACTAATCAAGTACTCAGCTACTGATCTGAACCCCAAGCCTCATAATGTATATTTTAAATGAAAATTTTATGAATTTTATGACATCAGTTTAACAGATTTTATTTTGAAAACTTCATTCCTCACATTCCTATTATGAATCAGGCACTTTGACAGGCAATAATTCAGTGGTAACATGTATAGCCCCACTTTAAGGAGCTTATAGCTTTATAAGAAAGTTTTGATAAGACATGAATTTTGCAAATGCATAGGTATGCCTGGTGCATGCATTTTTACAGTAGGACACACAGGTTCCAGTTATCCAGTCTGAAAATGTTAATGGAAAACACAGACCAAACCAGTTTGTTTGCCAAGTGGTTAAACTGTTTTCACTTCAGGTTATGTTGTGCCAATTAAGTTTTAATTGTCCTTATAGTCATTGTGTTTACAGAAATAGAACTGTAGCTCTGCTATTTTTAGTCTTAACCCAGTATAGAATTGTACCCTTGGGCACCCAGTGACTCAGAAGCTCTGTCTCTTTTTCGTTTTGCAATAGCAGAGGGAAAATATGGGCTCAGAAGCTCCCCATATTCCTGAAGCAGCTCCAGGCTGCTTGGGCCTCTAAATCAGTGACTACCTGGGCACTCTTGCTGTGGGACAAACCAAAGGGCCATGACTATTAACCCACATTAACTCCCAGAATGTAACTCCATAAAGGGCTTATAAAGCCAGTTGGAAAGATTTTCATATGGAATATATTACCCATCATAAAATATATGAGACTGTAATATTCTTAAAGTTACCTTTTTCCCTCATGGGGAAAAACTTAGATTTCTCCTTTTTCTTCAGAATTCCTAATGAACAATCTGCAAATAAATAAACTTTCTTTTGTACCACATGTACAAATGTGTGGAGAATTTTGCTAGTACATTTCCATTAATTTCTCTAGCTCCATTGTCCATTCCTCTTTATCATCTGTGCCCCACCAGAGAGTGACCCCTCTGGCCCATATTATTTGGGTTTCCTTGCCCTTTAGTTTCCTTTTGGCTAGAACAATTTGGTATTTGTCAGGTAGAAGAAGAAAAAGTTCTGGGTGCTTATTCCTCCCTAAATCCCAGGAGCTTATTCTGGGTGTTTATTCCTCCCTGATCAACAACTATTATTTTTACTGCTTTCTCTAAAGTACTGTAGCTCATCCTTTCTCTTGTGTTTATATGATTAGGGTGATGTGCTAGGTAGAATGATGCCCCCCCCCCAAAGATGTCCATAAACTAATCCATGTGAATGGTAAACAACTTATGTAGTAAGAGGAACATTGCAGATATGAATTAGGAATCTGGAGATGAGGAGATTATCCTGGATTATACAGTCTCAATGTAATTACAAGAGCCCACATAAGTGGGAGGCAGGAGGTCAGAGCTAGAAATGTGAAAGAGGAAACATTTGAGTGATGCAGTCGCTTGCTTTGAATTTGGAAGGAAGGTTTTAGCTGAGGAATACAGAGACCTATAGGACGTGGAAAAAAACAAAAACAAAAGAAAGCTCTGGGGGAAAAATTGCAGCCCTGCCTGCATCTTGACTGTATCCAGTGAGACTTTCAACCTTCAGATATGATAATTTGTATTGGTCTAAGGCAAAATACTAATGAAAATTTAGTACAGTAGCCATAAAGAAATTAGCTTAGGTGACGATGGCTTTCCAGTATTGGTAGGCACATAATACTGTACCATCCTTTTACTGGTGGACCTTAACCTGACCTACATTGTCATGAGTAATCCCTTCATTCATTGTTCTTCAATATCTTCTGGAATGTACCACCTGATTTCTGCCAGAATTCTAATATGCATATGCATTTTGGTATAGCAAAGACTATATTTAGGGATGAATCTGTGGTAGCTATAGTTTCTGACAAAGACATTTACTGTAGCATTATTTATAACAACAAAAATAAGAAATAAAGCAGATTTTTAGAAGCTAAAGACTGGTTACCTATATTATGGTAGAGCTGTATAATATAATAATAGACTTCTGGAAAATGTTTATGCTACATAGATTCATACAATTTGTGTAAAAATTAATCTACAAATAAGATATGTCCATATCCATATGCATATTTGACTACATCTACCTATTTTATCTATCTGTTTAATATGTAGAGAAGAAAAAATGTTATATGATAGTTTTAGTGCTTAACTTTTGCTGATGGATTGACTAATATTTCTTCCTTGTATTTTTTTTACATTTTATAAGTTTCCCACAAGTTTTTCATAGTAGTCATAAAGGAAACATTAAGAAAGTGATAGGACCTCTCCAAATAGGGCAGAATGTTTTGCATTATATAAGAAACACTTTTCTGGTTTCACTTATGGTTAATATAGTACTTTCTTCTACCTAAAGCTATTATGTACAGCCCCATTATAGTTACATGTATTTATTTTTGTATTTTATCATATCACAAACACTTTAAAGCAAAGAAGGCTTGAAATTGTTCTCTTTCTGCATCCACAGTGCCATATTTGGAGCCAGTGGTATGTTTACTGAAAGCTTTCTCTTGAATTAAATTTATAGGTGCTTAATCAAAATTTCTTTGATAAAAGACTTAACTCCAGACCCGTAATATGTACAAGTAACAGAAAAAAAAATTGTGGGGCACATTTATTCAGCAGAGAGGCAGAAGATAAACAGCCTGACTTAAAATGCAAATGGGTAGTGAATTATTTATATCATATTCTTGTCACAGCATTGTTCATTTAAAATTTGTTTACTAAGAGGATTGTACAAATGTTAAATACTCAGATGAGGTAAACATTAGGACTAGGCCACTCAAAAATCACATCAAATATTGAAAAAGAAAAAAAATGCATATTGTAATTCAGTAAAACCAGGTAGAATGTTGAGTCTGTTAGTAGGAAAAGAGACACTAGGAATAGGACACGTTTTTACAGAAGAACTTCTAGGTTGTCCCCTTTCTCCTACACATTTGACTCCAATCCACAATGACAAAGCATTAGAGATAGCAGTTTTTTTGCATAATCCCTAAAGATGACATCATTTGGTTAATTTAATTAGACCTTCATCACAGACAAATGTTGTTGCAACTAACAGAATAATATTGAGACCAAAAAAAAAGGATGAGAGCCATGCAATAAATCTACACTCAGCCAAAAATGAGGCATTGAATTAGACAGCAGGTAAAACCTAGGTGAAAACTATGTGTCTACATATCTAGAAAGTGAGAAATGGGTGTTTAAATCAAATATAGGAAATCACAAGGGGCCAAGAAATTGGCAGGTAGAGAACGGTTAGAGTAGCTTTTCTAAAGAATTATTTTATTCTTCGGAGAGTTTCAAAGGACTTCAGGAATCTACAACACTGTTGCTGAAGCACGGATAATTAACTCCCTATATATCTGAGTTTTAGAAGTGAAATTCTTTGGGGTTATTTGAGCCTTAAAAATCACTAATCTGGGGGCTGGGTTTGTGGCTTAGTGGTAGAGCACTTGCCTAGTATGTGTGAGGCTCTGGGTTTGATCCTCAGCACCACATAAAAATAAATAAGATAAAGGTATGTGTCCATCTACAACTAAAAAAAAAAATCAATCAATAAAAATAAAACCTAATGTGATGTGGAACATTTTTTTCAACAATTATTGAAAACTTACAGTTTAAAATAGAGTTGCAAGGCAAATCTTCCTTTAAAAATGAAATGCCATGAGGCAGGGTCACCTTAAGGCACATCTGTGACCACTGCTTCATTCTTTCAGTGGGGTTGATTTGTTGGAGGAAGAAGGAACTGGGCATTGGTGAGTGGACAATATTGGAAGAAGGGAGAGAGGATTTGACTATTTGTTGATTGTTACTTTATGGGGTGTCGTTGTTACACCCAATTTATAGTTGGGAAAACAGAGATTCCTAAAGGGTGAGTTTGGGACTTTGTCAGACATCAAACTCCCTATTCTTAACTGCATCAAAAATCTCAAGGCGAGAGCCTGACCTTTACTAACTTCATCACATTTCCACATTCCTTCTTCATTGTATGCTCCAAATCCACCTTAAATCTTCTGAAGGCAACAGAATCACCATGTAAAACATCATCCCATAGCTCACAATTAGAAAGGAAGTTAGGGAAATGAAACTAGAAAGGTCACAATCTTTAAGAAAAACAGTCCAACCAGACGAATGAGATGCTACCAGGATTAGAATTCGGGATTTTTATTGTAAAAGTCCACATTAGGCAATTCCTTTTGTGAAAAGGCTTTCAATTACAGCGACAGGGTGCAGCTGATAATTAAGAATTAGATTATATATACTATATATCCATGTTGCCAATACTATGCACACATTGGAAAGCTAGCTTTTTTTAGTGTCCCCATTACAGAACACATTTCAAGTTGACAATAATAACATGTTTCTCACCATTGAAATTTGCCAACAACTCTCCCAAAGAGTCAACATTTAGTATCTTGACGGTTTAAAACAAGAAAATAATTCATTCTATTTACATTTGTTTGAGGTTAAATATGAGAGCACTGATATATTAAACATTGCAAAATTGGCAGCTAAATGTATTTCAAGATTCATCCAGATGACTTTACATGGTTTTATATTCACAAAGTCTCTCTCTTCTTTCTACTTTTTTTTTCAGATTATCTATAAAGTTACACTAGCTATTATTAAACTCTGACTTAGAGTAATGATTGCATAAAGAAGAACCAACAAAGGGTACTATTTTAGAAAAATAAGGACTCAGGTAAGTATATAAATATAAGACTCAATTCATTACATTTGACGTCTGGGACAATCACTTCATTTCATTACAATATAGTCTCATGGGGCCACAATCATAGGCTCAATGACCTCCATGTGGGCCATTCGTCTTTTCATTTGGTTTTTAGTTTAATCTCTGTATACTTTTTTCACAGAGCATAGAATACTACATTCTGAATGACAGTCAGGTATGAATCTTGCTTTTGCCTTGCGTAAATTTGCAAATAGAATTTTCAAGGGATCAGAATTGACTCACACCCAAACCTGGAAAAAAAAATATTATAAACTCTATGCCCTCTTAGTCATTTCTGTACACAAATATAGAACATAGATACTATTTTAAAAGGAGTGCAGACTTTACCTGAAACAAATTTTTGAAGATGAACATAATAACCAAAGATCTTTGGATCCTCTGTGGTTATGTCTACAAAATCAAGCATCACTTGACAGTGCCAACATGAATGGATGAATCACTCATTCCGGGGCAGCACGGAGAGATTCACCAGAAGTTTATGAAGGCAACTCATCGCAAATCATATTTATTGAGCACTGACTGTATGTCAAATATTATGCAAGGTACTGAGGACCCAAAGAAGAAATGACAAGGATTCTGCCCACAAGGCACTAACAGTCACTAGAAGCAGATCTTGAGATGGAGAGTAAGTCTGCTATGATCTAGCATCCTAACTGGAAGAAAAAATAGCGGCAAGCACATATGATTACTTTATAGCTTACTTGTGAAATTGGGCATATTTAGAGTTGGCAAATGTCAATTATTCAGCCTATATTTTACTCAAAGTGTTTTTTAATATGCCATACAAGAAATAAAAATAAACTGAGTCTTCATGCATGAGGGAGAAGGCAATGGAAATTCCTCCCTCCAATTGTAAACCCAAATCCTTATAATTACATTCATGATTCTCTTATAACTCAAAGACACAAAATAAAGGACAATACTTTATGAAGATAACTTCAATCCATTTATTTTGGCTCTAAAGAGATGCATGCATTAAACTTGAAGCATTCTACATTATTGAAATATTTACATCATTGTACATGTGATGTGGAGGAAATTTTCTTCCTATCATGGAATGAAGGAATAAGAGATTTCTAGTCTAGGCTTGTGATTATTCTCAAATGAGGGAGTTCATTGTGTTCATTATATCCAAATTTACCACAACTTGCCCCCGAATGAACTTAGGATACAGTTTTGGACCTTGGTATCTAACTGTTTTATGAATCAAGTAAGGACTCTGGTCAATATAAACAGGAAGAGCTTTCACTATTTCAGTTGCTATAGATGAAAAATACCTTGCTTGTTTTCCATTCTTGCTCTAATTTTCCTTTGCCTTGCAGGTATGAAACACAGCAAACATTAAAGTTCAAATTATACTAACCAAAGGAGAGTTGGGCACAAACGATATGACATTGTACGATTTACCAGGTTAGGACATAGAAACAAATTCAGGTCATTATCAACCACACAGGGGATTTTTGAAGTGGACTTACAAGGGACATCTTATTTCCATGAGATTCAGTGAATAAGATCCAGATCAATAAAACCCATACCTCCTCACAGGTAAAGATAAGAGACCCAATACACCAGATTGAACAAGCAGAAAGCCGTAGGGAAGAAGATGCGAGCATAGGAGTCCATCTTGGCGATGCGGATATGTATTCTCCCATGTCTCCAGGCCCCTGTGCGACAATCTTCAAAGCAGCAGAAGAAGCTGGCACAGTCCTTGCCATCCAGACACTCGTACCCATACTCTTCATCCCTCTCTTGAAGGTGAGTGGCATTGTTCATTTGAATGGTGGCTGACCTTGGGCGGATATCAATGGTAGGGGCCTGAGACAAGGGTAGGGAAGGAGAAGAATCCAAATTAGTTACACTTGAGAAATCCTGGATGATTTTTCCATAATGTCACCAATGTGATGATGAATCTGAAAATGGGTACTCAGGAAATTGCTATGACATCATGATCTACAATGGTAAAATTGAACTTAGAGAACACATTTGCATATTTCAAATTTTGAGCTTAAGCAGTGCAGCTGAAAATAATATCACCAAGCTAATAGCTAGAGCAAGAATATTGAACACCAAAAGAACTCAAATTTGAAGATCTAAATCAAACTACATGGAATCTTATTCTATTAATTATTAGATATGAGGTTGGTTACATGAAGGCTAATGGTATTGCATGTGAGTGAAACAGAGAAATAAAAATGCATCTATTTTGAAATCAAATTTTAGGTCATGCTTACTTATAAGGCAAATAGGAAATTGTTACACAGAGCAAGTATATTAAATGATGTTAATAGAAAATGCTAATATATATGTAAAAATAGATGTTTCCTGATTTTATGCCACAGAGGGATAGTTTATGTTTTTAGAGAACTTTGTGTGACATTCACCAGTTAGAAGCTTAAAATTATCAGCAATGTTGACCTACATCTGAATGAAAATTAAAAAAAAAAAAAGATGTAACTGCCTGTTGAACGTTTAAGCATATGAGGAGGAACTAGTGCCAAATGGCTACATGCTAATCTAACCTTTGTTGCAAGACCAATAATAAATTTGCTAAAGGACAAAAGGACTTATTTAATGCTAATTTGACTGACTTAGCTTTAGGATAATATCAACACAAATTCTAATGTGTCTAAATCAGATATTAGAGTTGAATAGAAATCTCATTGCAGTATTTCTCAGAGCCAACAGCCCTGATAATTAACTACCCTAGAAAGAAAATATGGATATTTAAACTCAGCCTTTTAAAGGCAGTATTCTTAAAAAAAATCAAAAGTGGAGTTAAGGAAAACACAGATTATATATTAAAAAAAAAAACACAATATTTTAGTTTCCATTCTTAAAACTAAGGTTTATAGAGTTAAACTTTACTTTTAAAAGAGTCTGTATGTGGTAAAATTAGCCAGTAGATTTGGATCCCATGTTCATTCAAGGAAAGAGGATCAGACTTGGTTTTGATGTGTAAAAAGACCTTCTTTACCTATGACATCTCTCATAGGCCTGATAGCTTTTGAGCTTGATATAAGATCAAAACCTATGAGAATTAGTGAATAGTTGTAGAATCAACTCTAGAAATCTACAGATATTTCTGTTATTTCTAGTAAAATGCTTAGATTTCTCCTTATAAAAACATAAATAAAACACCATGGAAGCGTTAATAGTTAAATTTAGCAGTGGCATGCAGTGAATTTCCATTCCAAAAGCATTATACCTTGAAGGAAAACATCCGAAGAAGCTTTGGGTTTGTAGACAGAAAAGAGAATAGCATTTTTTTTTTAATTAAAAGAAGGAAAGGGGAAAAGAAAAAAAGAGAGAGAGACAAAATAAGATAAATTAAAAATACATTTTGAAAACATAGTAAGTAAAAATGAACTGAAATTATAAACACAGAAGGAATCTTCTGAGCTTGGGATAAAGTATATGCCTAAAGTTGGAACACAGAATTTTGTGATATTAGTGAAATTTTCAGTAAGTTAATCCAGTTATCTGACTGCAAATTCCAGTATTGTTCAGCTGTGAGGAAACTTCCTGTTATCTGGTTTCCCCATATGGTAATACTATGGATTTATCTTCTCACTATCACCAAGGAGACCTGATGTTAGAGTTAGTGAGTCCTGATACAATGAGCCAAGGGTATATTAAACAGGAGGGTGAAATTTCGGCTGCTCACTCACCATGTAGGCTTTTACTAGCTTTGGTAAATTAACAAATTGGCTTAAAAGGAAAAAAAATGAATAAAATTACCTGTTTGTTTTCACTTTCTCGGGTTTTTAAATCCCCTGTCCTTTCTACTGTCTTTTTTTCTTCTGTTATTTCCAAGACCCTGGTTAAAGGAATCCATCTGTGTCTAACTCAGCAACAAAATCCACTCTGAGGTGACACAGCTGATAGAGAAGGCCAAAGGACTTCTAAAGGGCTCTTCAGAATTCATGTGAGAGCCAGCCCTCCCATCCTTGTGACTCTGGCAGGTAATAATTCTGAGCGTCAATGGGGGACATCCTCTTGGGGGACAATGAAATGGAAAGTGAAGTAGAGAGAACAAACAAAAACCAAAAAAAAAAAGAAAAAACCATAACACAACAAGGAAATTAAAACCAGGAGAGGAAATAAAAAGTAAAAGTAGAGAGAAGCAAAACAGCTAGCTAGGGAAGGAAAGATTGCATAAAGCATAATAACATTTTGAAAATTAAAATAAGCATTTCCTCTTTGCTAATCATCTAGAATAATGTTGCTTCTTTCTTTACCTGCTACGCAGTCTCATGGTCAAGTAAACATGAGCCAGTTGCAAAAATCTACCTGAGTTTTGGAGATGCATCAAGCTATGACCTATTTCAGTCAGATTCCCTCATAATTTAGCTCCCAAAGTCCATAAGTCAGATAGTTAGCCACTGTCATGGCCCTGGAGGCCCTGAGAACAGAGGACCAGCAGATGCTGTAAGTCAAGGAGGGCAGGGCCATTACCTTTGCTTTCTCTTGGAAGGGAATGGACTTTAACTTTAATGAAAGCTTCTAAGAGTCAGATACTGCACTCAAGTGGGTTACCTACCCCTAACAAAGCATAACATCCACAATAAAAGAGAATTGTGTAGGCATTTATAATTTTACCTCATCCTCTGTTTAATGTTTAGTGCAAGTGGAAATCATCCTACCTGTTTCCAAATCACATTGACACTGAAAGAAATTCAGGCTGGTAACTGTATAGGCCATTAAGAGCATATATCATGACCAGCTACTAACAATAAGGATTTTCATGCACTTTTTGGTAATGTTTTTGTATTTCATTTGTTTACTTCCATTACCATATTTATTTTTCAGAGCAGCACCAGAAGATTTATTTTGAATAATATTAAATTTATCTTCTATATGAGAAAAGAAGAGAAAAATAAAAATATGGAGGCTTAGTAACTAGTCCACACAATAGTGAGATATTTGTTTTAAAAACAGAGATGCATGTTAAGTATACAATCAGTAGAAGTCCTCAGTGGGCAATATACATGTGCATGCGCAGGTATACAGACACACACACACAAACACACACACACACACACACACACACGCGCACACACACACACATTATTTGCAAAAGCTTTGTTAATCTTGAAATTTCAAAGACTTCTTAGTGGAATACCTTGGATGAAAGTTTTAACTTAAAACATCAGTAATTTAAAAATATTAAAGTTGGGCAAAAACAATAAAACCTAGAGAGTAATACTAATTAGAAAATGGATACATTACTCAGAAATGGATTTAATCCTCAAAAAATGAAGAGATCAAGTAATTACATTTGCATACATAAGGAGTCTAAGAGAATCAGGGCTCTCTCAAGTAACTAGTGGCCATAAATGGATCTATTTATGATCTGGTCAAAACTCACACATTCTGTTTTCATCTTGAAGCCCAAAGTGCTGAGCCTTAGCATGCAGATAAGGTAACAGAACCAAACTAAGACAAAACAAGGTAAACTTCCTGTATAAACATTTCTATGATACAAATAGGACATGATACATACAGGATTTTTCTTCTTTTTGTCTTTGTCCTTGCTTGGTTTCCTATTGCTGACAAAATAATGCAGGGTGCCATACTCCACCAATGCAGAGAAGACAAAGATGAAGCAAACAGACACAAAGAGATCCATTGCTGTGACATAGGAGACCTTGGGGAGAGATTTGCGCGCAATGGTGCTGAGGGTGGTCATTGTCAGGACAGTCGTGATACCTAAAAAGAGGCACAGTAGAATTGATGGTGTTATAGTATCAGTAAATTGAGTGACTATGTCACCAAGGAGACTAAACTTGGTTTGTGTCTTCTGATAGACAACCTCAGTGGTGGGAAAGGAGATATAACTGAACTTAATCCACTCTCGCCATGAATATTATTATATTTTCACTATGCAACAATTATTGTGACAAATACTGAATATACACTCGAACATTTTCCAAGCAAACCAGCCCATTCCACTAGTTGTTTTGTGACAGGGAACAAAATTAAGACAACCTGCTGCAACAACCACGAAAAGGTGACAGTTTCCTCTATAAAACCTGTGTCGTGTGGGGAAAAGGTAACACAGCTTCAGCATTCAAGTTGATTCTAGCTCTTTCTGTAGAAACTTAGTTCACCATCCTAAACATCCAGGCATTGATTTTCCCATCATTTGAACTAGCTCCTTGAAAGCCCACCTTAGATTTTATCATTCTAGGATTCTAATTCTGCATATCTTGTAGTGACTGGAAGTGTCTTTAGGTTTTTCTAAAATAGTATCTCTGTGTCTTTATTTTCTCCGGTTTTATGATTTTTCTCATGGGGGAAGAAAACCCACAAAGATTCCATCACTTAGTGATGGCAGATAACAGTTATTGCTGCCCAGAAGACTTCAGAGGAAAGATCAAACTTTGGAAGAGAAGAAGAGTGATCAAGCAAACTGTGACTATAAATGTCATAGCCCTGGTATTACACTGCTCGTGAGTATTTAATAATCCACTTTTTTTTTCCATTATCTATATTCTATGACAATGGATATCTCTCTTGATGGCCATTGTAACCCCATAGTAGAGCATAGTGCTGGGATTCAATAAATACTTGTTGAATGAAAAATGTGACATAATGTATCAATAGATAATATATATGTGAAAGACTCAAGAGGCTCAGCCTACATTTGAGAATAGTAATTCATATTAACAAAATGTAGGAGATAGTCAAATTTCTTTGGCAAGGTGCTATGTCAAGTGCTTTATATATTATTCAAGAAAATCTTCCTAATTTCCTATGATGTGTAAGCACAGGAAGAATAAATACTTGTCCAGGCTAGTAAGTGGTAGAGATGAGATACAAACCTAGGTAGCCTGACTTCAAATGCTATGTTTTGAACCACTAGGTTTCATTTCCATGAACAAATGGAAATATAAAATGAATGATATGCAGCATGAAGCATCGAAGTGCTGGGAGCATGTGTTAGTGACTAATTCTTGATTGAGGAATTATTATAGGCCTGGGGAGGTCTTTCATGCTATTATGGAGAAATTTTAGGAAAGTTCAAGTTTCTCATCTACTAGCAGAGGATGGAAGGTGGGGAAGCAATGGGAAATTTCATGAAGCTTTTGTTAAAATTAATTTAAATAATGTGCATAAAGCGTGATACAGTTTGGATCTGTAAAATGTCCTTCAAAGGGCCAGGGGCTTGATTTTTCAGCTTGGCTCAACTGGAAGATGGTGGAACCTTTAGTAGGTGGGATCCAGAAGAATGAAGTTAGGTCATTGGGGAGGTGCCCTCGAAAAGCATATTGGACCACTGCCCCTCCGTGTCTTTGTCATTGGTTCCTGGCTGCTGTGAGGTGAGCAGGCCTCCTCTGCCATGCACTCCTGCCAGGGTGTACTGCGCTGCCACAACCAGAGCACGGGCTCTAGTGACCAGGGACTAAAAGAAACCTTTCCTCCTCCGAAGCTGATTTTTCTTGGGTATTTGTTACAGTGTTAGAAAGCTTATCAACACAGAGTAGCAATATTTCATAAAGTCTCAGTAAATGTTCGGTAAATTAAAAAATTTTGATATTTTAAAATTAAAATTAAATTTTTAAATTTAATTTAATTAAAAAATTAAACTAAAATAAGTCTAGTTTAATTTTTTTAAACTAAAAAAAATTAGTTAGGTTATCTATGCATTCATTAAAGTTGAATTGCTCGATTATACCCAATTACAGCTCATCTTTTTAGGTAGAAAACTTAAAAATTAAATTGGAGCCTTGGCCTTCATTTCATGATCAGGCCTCAAGCTACACTTGACTTATGAAAAGTGAAAACCTCCGTATTTGTGGTAGATACCAAAGATGAGTTCATTTTAGAAAACCTGGTGTGTGACAGTTTAAGCAAAACAATTCCAACATGCAGATTAAACACTGATCTTGTGCATTTGGAACATAGTATTAGGTTACATGGAAGTCAGTCAATCACAGCCTTTTAAGGTATGGTTTGAAGAATCACCATAGGATAGTTTTAGAGAGCCACCTGAAGCCACAGGAAAGAAAATGGCTATGACATCAAGAATGAGAAGTGATGGCAGAGTGGGTTTCCCCTATTCACTAACTAACAATACAAAAGCATTTAAAATCCAGTTTTGCTAAACAAAGACATAATTCTCTTATTGGAGGTAGATGAAAAATACCCAGAGGTTTTACCAAGTCTTCCAGTCTTGGCATGAAGTATCCTTCTCAGGAATGTTAGCCCAGATCAGATTACTTTGGTAAAAAATACCAATTGGCATTTTCCCCTTTTTGTGCATCATCATTGGAACATAATCGAACCTCATCAGCTACCAGCTGTGTAGCTACAGTCAAGTGTTATAAGCTCCAGGATGACCATTCCCTGTGTTCTGATGGTCTAGGCACAGAGAATAGCACGTGTCTCTGAGCAATGTGAGCATATTTATCTCACTCAATAAAGAACTTGGCTCTGACTGTTCTCTGGCAATAAGGTTAAAGTTAGCAGGTGTTCATGCTCATCTCATTTAACTCTCGATGATGAACACAGGAAAAGATAATGGAACTCAATGAAATCTAGAGCAATGTTCTAAAAGGTGGACTGCACATTAAAATTGACTGAATTTTTCTTTTTAAATCCTAAGCCCCAGGCCATGCCCTTGACAATTTAAATAAGCATCTTTGGGGACTGTATTAAAGAATCTTACTTTTTAAAAGTGCTCCTCGTTATATAAATATGTAATTGAGTTTAAAAAGCAGTGATCTAGATGAGTGAGACAGCAAAGTTAAAAGAGCGATATTGGTTCAGGCTGGCTTCTCGACTTTACCATGACCAGCCTTCAGCAAAGCTGCCTACCCAGAGCAAATCTATGTTCCATTAGCCAAGGTGCGAATTTATTACCTATTGGCTATGTGACTTTATATAAGCTGTTTAACCTTGCAGCATCTTTACTTCCTTAGCTTAGCTCTAAAAACTTTTATGATAACTTGTGTTGTTATCATTGCAACTTCTTGCAGTTGTTTCAAAGAGTAACAAAGGAATAAAGACCATATTGAACATGCCTGACATATTCATAAATGATCAAGAAATAGGAGTATGTATCCGTATCTTGCTGAAAAATCTGTTCTCCATTTTTTAGCTCACACATCTCCATTCCTTCTGCTAATAAGCCAATGAACACATTTCATGAGTGGTTGAAATGATTTATCTAAGGGGCCATAAAAGGGATTTTGACCAACAAGAGTCCAGGTTTCAAGAGGAGAGGTTGACTGAAATATTTAACTTAAAATATACTGAGGAAGAGGGTAAGTTGGAATCTATCAATGTATTTGTCCCATGAATTCAAGGAAATATACATTAATTGAATGGTCATTGAGGTACCAGCTATGTGCCAGACAGTACACTGGAGACACATGACATTTACATTCTGATTTGCAATTTCATGTAAACATGTCATGTAACACCTTCTACTCAGTGACAAGCGTTAGTCCTAATGTATTAGGCTCAGTGTATTCTGAGTATGTGTCAGCATGAAGCATGAGACGAGATATTTGAATTGTTGAATAAGACTTGAAACAAAAAGTACTGCATATAACAGGAAAAATCAAAATAACTTCATTTTGAAACAGATGGGAAACTAAATTAGGTTTGGAAGAGGACAGATATGCAAATGTTGTCTTTCTTCCCAGTAATCACTTCTGCCCTCAGTTTAATAACCTAGTACAGATCATTTTGTCAGAAAATGACTACATAGTAGCTACCATTTCTGAGTCTTCATCCTGTTCCATGTGCTTTGTGCATAGAATACCTTACATAACCCAAAGAGAACCTGCAAATTAGGAATTGGAAATGATGCATGTTTTACATGTGAGGAAACTGATGTAGAGAGATGCAAGGGCATTCCAAGGTTATGTAGTGTGTGTGACTGAAAGTCCAGATTTGACTTAAAAACCCCAGTTCTTACTTATCACTTGATGTCACTTCTTTAGCCAAGGAGTTGGCAAAGCTGTGGTTCTAGGTTTCACGTAGAGGATGAATGATAAGAGGGTACTGTGGTTTTATAATGACATTTCCCTTGCTATATACTTAGTTAAGTCTTTATAGTTTCATTCACAGACCTAGACTCCAATGCTCCTGTGTTTCTGTTTTGATTTAGTCTATTTAACACTTCTTCTCCAGGTGAAGAAAAAGACATGGAGAATCTAATCTATCATATATATGATGATATAATCTAAATATTATATCATCATATATAATATTTGGAGAAAACTTCAAATAATCTTAAAATTGGTCTTTTTTCCAAAATTTCACAGATAAATGTGTTTTTCAAAAAATAATCTGTTCAATGGATCTTCTGTAAAGAGCCAATTACTTCCAATGTCATTGCCATCACTGTAAAATGAACACTATTTTTAAACCATTATTTAAAAATAATTGTAAATAAACATTATTTTTTTAAAAAATGTACTAATTTTCCCAAAGATGAAACAAATGGACTTCTATATAATTGCTGGCTGAATTTTGAGCAAATAAAAAGTAAATAAAAATTTCTTGCATTGTGTACTTATCTTGGGACACCATAATGTAAAGAAATGTAACTCACCTAAAGATGTTCTGGCTGGAACAGCATCCTTGTTGATCCAGAAGGACACCCAGGACAGGACCACGATAAGCGTGCAGGGTATGTAGGTCTGTATGGTGAAATACCCCATTCTTCTGCTCAGATCAAAGTAGACAGTCATGACCACATAGTCCCCTGGAGAGTAGAGGAGAGATAGCAGTACCTATATCAAAAGCTGGAAACATTTAAATATGAGCAGGCTATCTAACTCTCCTGAACACATTTAAATGGAGAGGGTTTTTAAAAAATATTTTATTTATTGTAATTTGTTATATATGACAGCAGAAGGCAATTCAATTCATATTACACAAATAGTGCACAATTTTTTCATGTCTCTGGTTGCACACAAAGGAGAGTCACACCATTCATGTTTTCATACATGTACTGAGGGTAATTATGTCTGTCTTATTCTACCGCCTTTCCTACCTCTATACCCTCTCCTTTCTCCTCCCTTCTCTTTGCCCTATCATCTATTCCTCCCACGCTCTCCCTCCCATTCCCATTATGAATCAGCATCCTTATATCAGAGAAAACATTCGGCATTTGTTTTATTGGGATTGGCTTATTTCACTTAGCATTATATGAGGGCTATGTTGAAAACTCTCTTCTAAACACTGGGTTAAAAAAATACAGTGGAAATTTGGGAAATTAATCCTGATTCTTTTAGAAGCCATGTTAGCTACTAGGTGGAAGAAAACATTTTAAGGGCATTGATCATATTTTCTTCTTTAAGATGACTCTTGGTTTTTAATCTTGTTATCACATTTGAAACACAATGTATAAAATTTCTGTTTACCTACTATTCTTGTTTTTATGCTTTGCCTGTCTTGCCTGCAATATGGTATGTTCTAAGTTTTGTAACCTTTTCCTGTCTTTCTTAGACGTTTACCTGCAAAAACCAGAGAGGAATATCTAGGTGCTTGACAATAACAAATGAATCTTTTACTCAGAATTTATAGCCAAATTCTTATGGTGAAACATTTTCCTCATATTTTACTGAATCATATGATTTTTTAATAGAAATTATTTTAATTTGCAATTGTTCATTCAATTGGAAGGTAAATGTTGCAATACCTGTCTTTCCTATTGCATGGTACCTGAAAAAGTTCATTGAAAGTACCCATTTTAGGGGCTGGGATTGTGGCTCAGCAGTAGAGTGCTCGCCCGGCATGCAAGAGGCACTGGGTTCCATCCTCAGCACCACATAAATGTAAAATAAAGATATTGTGTCCACCTAAAAACTTTAAAAATAAATATTTTTTAAAAAGTACCCATTTTAGTCTACCATTGTACAATCTGTACTGGGCATCTTGCTTGACTCTAAACAGGTGCTCAGTAAAATTTGTTGGATAAATAAACAAATGAATGAATGCATTGATAAATTTAAAATATAAAGAAGAAAATACAAAAAATATATCATGAAACTTTTTGGTTAAAATGGAATTTATGTAAATAACCCAGGAAATACACTGTTTAGAAGTACTAAGGAACTGAAGAGTAACTACATAGCTATGCATGAGAATAACTTACTGTAAAACAATTTCAAGTCTCTAACTTTATTAAATCATGATGTGTATATTGTTGTTTAAAATCCATGTCCATCATTTTGTATTATTGCATGTAAAATTCTAAAGTATTTTGATTTTCAAAATTACAGAACATAACATGGAATTACATCTCAGTTACAGTATATTTATATATTCCATATATTGTATGAGAACATTAGTTTCAAAGACTGTATTTGTGCTTATGACATGAGAGAAATACATGGGAACACTTTTCAAATTTTGCTTTCCTTTTTTCTTTGATAAATTATATATTACATATAAGCATGTATTTTTAAATATTTATTTTTTAGTTGTAATCGGACACAATACCTTTATTTATTTATTTATTTCTATGTGGTGCTGAGGATCGAACCCAGGGCCTCGCACATGCTAGGAGAGCGCTCTATGCCTGAGCCACAACCCCAACCCAATAGATTATATTTTATCCTAAAATACCTAGATAATTAAATCCAAATCATGTGCCTGAGCATAATAACTAGGCATTGTGCCTATGTTGACTTAATCTGAAATCAGACATCTTAAGAAGCTTCATGCAGAGGAGTTAACTTTGCAAGTTATCTCTATGCAGTCTAGTTCTTTGCCATTTTCAAGCTTTACCTGCTATTCTTGCAAAGGGCTGGGATATAAAGCCCTTTAAGCCCTCTTTGAGGGATCAAAGCCTCTCCCTTGGCACTGCCTTTCAGTAGATTCACATCTCACTATGTGCTTAGGCTAAGCCTGGTTGATGCAGTAATCACTACCTGGTGCAGAGTGGGTCACAAGGCTTCCTGAGGGACATCTGTACCCTCTCAAAGATCACTGAGTAATAACTATTTAGTTTAGCAATAACTATTTAGTTTATGCCTCAAAACTTGAAGGTAGAAATACTTGATTGATAAGTAGATTTTAGCTGACTTCCTTGAGATTATGCTTCTCTGTGTTAATATTTCTGACATATAGGTCAAGTTATAACATTTCATAAATCAGTGTAGTCTTTGCTTTGTCCTAACTTCAAATAGAATAGACATAGGATATGATCGAGGAGTAAAAACATTTTATTTGAGATGGCCTCTATTAAGTCATCTTTCTCTTTTCATTTCTTTGATCGGAATACCAAAGGAAAATGCAAGGCCTCTTATTCTGTATGAAAAACACAAAGAAAGAAAGAGAAGGGGTTTCCTTTTTTGTTGTTGTTGTTGCTTGTTTGTTTATTTATTTATTTATTTTTAAAATGTCATATATGGGTACTTTTTTTGCTATTTTCCAATTCCTTGAGTTTCTCCACATTTTAAATATTTAAATTAAAATTTCTAAATTTTAATATTTTAAGTAAAGCCTCACAATGTTAGTAGCTTCTTTTCTCCTTATCATGTAAGGGAATGAGAGTCTGCACTTCTACCTTAATGATCTGACTCTTTAAAGGTGAACTTTAATCTTGTCCAATATTAGCAAGATAATTATCTCAATTCAATTCTCCAGTTCCCTTTAAGTCAGGGTCTAAACTTCCATAGTGCACTTATCTGTGAATTTCTATTATGAGGGAAGAGCTTCTGAGCACCTTTCATCTTTGCCAGCAAATCTAAAGCTTTTCTACCAGTGGATTATGGATTCAAACTTGGGAACAAGCTGTTTAAAAGCAAAGCAGTTTCACAGTGACAGCCCGATGCCTGTCTTATCTTCAAGGCCCTGGTGTTTTTTGTATTCTTAAAAACTCTTGGGCTGAGGAGTCTATAAAGTCAAATCCCCTTAAAGTGCTGCATCAGTGATTTTCCCAAACCCAAAAGGTTTAAATGCCCACCAAATCAAAGGTGGTTATTTTGGACACTTCAAATTTATTCTTCCCATTGATTTGTCCTAACATTTGGCTTTTAAATTTACAGCCTTTCATAAATTAGTTCCATCTCTACTTTGGTCAAGACTTAAGACTTTGGTCTACTGAGCATGTAGTAGACTTTGGTCTATTAAGCATGTAGACTTTGGTCCAGATTTAGTATGTACATACTTAGATAGACCATGTTTGAGCTCAGGAGGCATAGCTCGGAATAATAACCATGAATGTCCAGCCATCTCTTTCCTTAATTTATTCAAGCTTCTTATGTCTAGTTTTATGAAGCAACTATCAATGTCAGTAACACATGAGACTTTAATTCCTTTTTTAGCTATATTGTTAAAAAAAAAAAATCATAGGTACCTGAGTCAGGAATGGTGGCACATGACTGTCATCCTAGGGACTTGAGTCACTGATGGAGGAAGAGTGTGAGTTTGAAGCCAGTCTCAGCAACATAGTGAAACCCTAAGCAAACTGTCTTAAAATAAAGACTATAAAGAGCTGGGGATATGGCTCAGTAGTTAAGCACACCTGGATCAACCCCTCTTCAGTACCAAAGATGAGAAAATAAAATAAAACTAAATAATGAGAAAGCAATAAAATTCTGAACTTAATAGTGTGTTTAGCTTCTTTCATAGATGAAACCTCAAAAACTTAATGATTTTTACAGGAGATAATTATTTATCTCCATTGAAACCCTGAAATAATAATTATTATTTTCTAATACCAATAATAAGAACCTAATATATGCAGACACTGGGATAAATGATTTGCATACATCATCTTAAAATGTCCTAAATACTTTGTCATGAAAATGAAAAAAAAATTAAGCCTAAGATTTACCTTTGTTTTGTTCTTCTTCCATCATTCTCAGTCTATTTTAAAATAATTAGAGCAGATCATATTCCGCTCTGTTAACTTTACAAGGTATTATAATGTATAGTCCTTTTCTAGTTTCTTCTTTAAATCAACAATATTTTTAAAAACTGCTATTTGTATGGCACTCTATTAGGTATTATGGAGATTAAGACCTATGGGATCTAACAACTGATTCTAAATTAAATAGGTTAAATGGGAACATTATTGTTCTCTCTCTGGAACCCAGATAGAGATGTGAGACAATGCATCAGATCTATTCCATAATTCCTCATTAGACATCTGAATCTGAGTCATAATTCTGGGCAGTTGATTTTTACTATAGGCAAACAATTAATTTGGTTGGATTTTCATTTGAAGAAATCATTTTCTCAAATTAGATTTATACCTCCACCTAACACACAAAATCAATTTAAGATGGACCAGAAATCCAAATTTATGAGCAAATGTAAGTACTACATAAACACAGAATATCTTTACAACCTTTATGTATGAAAGGTTTTATCAAGCATAACATAAAATATAAAATTATGAAAACATTTAAGGTGTAAAACTCAGAAATTATGTTTCCTAAATAATTCTATACCTGGTTTTAAAAGGCAAAATACCACACTTCAATGAAATATTAATAAAAAAAAAATCAAAGGCTCATAATCACCGATACATAAAGGGTTCCCATTATTCACCAAGAAAAGAAACTTAAATTTTTAACTAAGCTGGAATAAAAAGTGAAGAATTCATGGATACTAAATGTATGGTGATATTTTTAACTTCAGTAGCAATCAGTGAAATTAAGTGTAAAATAATATTTCATTTAAACTGTCAGAGTGTGGGGGGAAAAACTGACATGTAAAGTTCAGCCCCAACATGATGTAAACAAAGGG